TGGCACGACATAACCGCGAAAGTCAAAAGCGCGTCGACAACACCGCGGCGCTAAAACCGCGATGTCAAAAGCGTGCGACAACAGCGTGCCGACAACAGCACGCCGACAGAAGCGCGATTTAACTTAAGGTTAGGTTTAGGGTTAGGTTTAGGGTTAGGTTTAGTTAGGTTTAGGGTTAGGTTTAGGGTTAGGTTTAGGGTTATTTTTAGGGTTATTTTTAGGGTTATGTTACAGCGCGCTTCTGTCGGCGTGCTGTTGTCGGCACGCTGTTGTCGCACGCTTTTGACATCGCGGTTTTAGCGCCGCGGTGTTGTCGACGCGCTTTTGACTTTCGCGGTTATGTCGTGCCACGTAAACTAACGATGGCCAAATACAGACTGTGGTTCGCTAAAGAAGATACGCAAGTCTACTTTTTAATGAGAATATCGCTATCCTCCTATCTGCTCTGCCAGATCCTTTTATTAAAGAAACTCTTGGCTAAGTTTTAAAGGATGAGAAACCCACGTAAGCAAAGTCTCCTTTGAAGAAAAGATTGTCCAAGAAGCTCATTCTGGGATTATAGGATTGAAGAGTCTATTTATTATTATTATTATTATGCTTTCTACTTAATTGCCCAGGTATTTCGATTTTTAAAATGCCTGACGTTTAAAGCTCAGAACACGCAGAAACAAAGAGAGAGAGAGAGAGGAATGAACAGCAGATAAACTACCTTGCGTGTAGAACTTCCAGACATGCTCCAGAAAGGGTTCATAACGTGTCGCCCAAAACACCAGGTGGAACTGTGCTATACTTCCCAAGCGTCCGAATTTCTACAGTTATTTTCTAACCTGGAAACATGAAAGTGAAGTTAATGACTCCGTTCCCACTGCTCTAATCGAGACTTTTTTTTTTAACTGCCCATGTGCTTTAACTGTTTAAGTCTCCGATATTTCACCCGGAATGAAGCTCATCTGATCTATGAAATACGAATTAATAGGACTCAGCTAAGCTTTCTCGGCAAACTCAAGATTCCCAATTCCCTTTTTTGGAAATGTAACAAATATGCAGGAGTCAAGGTTGCTTGCTGGAGTAAAATTGGCAAGCTAAGGAGGGATGCTTGCAACAGTCTGGAACAGGAGATAAGACATAAAGTTGGGGAGATAAGCCAGGGTCATAAGTCAAGGACTACTGCAGGAAAAGTGCGATCAGTATCCAAGTATTTCAGAATTGCTTTCAGAATTGCTTCCCATCATTTAAAAAATAAACAATAGAGCTAAACTGAAAGGTTCAGAGAAATTCCAGATGTGCTTAAGCCACCGGCCGGCATGCTAAGCTGATTCTTCCCTGCACAAATCACAAAAAGCTCCATTTATAAAATGTTTTTTTTGGGGGGGAAGGTATCAGAAGGGCCAAAAATGCTAGAAGGATTTTGCTTAGTTTATAGGATGGACTCTTAAACTCAAGGATCACATAGTCATTAACATCTTCATTGCTGAAACCAGATCCCAGCGGATTTAGTCGAGGCTAATTTTGTTGTTGTTCTTAAGGTGTCCTTAATGATCTTCAATAATGAAGAAATAAATGTGGTTTTTCCCTTCCCTCTGCCTGGAATGCATTTGTACTATTCAGAAATCACGGGCACAATACCATCTTCAGGAGACGTGATCTCACCTAAAGAGCATGTAAAACAAAAAATAGGCCAGCTAAGGAACAACAGCAGGTTAGACTTGTCTGGCCGCTCCATTGTAAATGCCAGCACACCTTTTTCTTTTCTGAACACCTGAGGACTTCCTGTGGTTCCTATTTCCACTGGAAGACTGTGGGGACTTTTGTGCCTCCATCCTCAAATTTTCCGATTAAGAAATATAAGGACGTATTTGTATTTGTATTTGTATTTTATTATTTGTATGCCGCCCTTCTCCGGGAGGANAACAACAGCCTGAAACCAGGGCCCTGACAACTCTCGCCATCCTGTCCTGGAGTGGAACTAACAGGGCCGGAAGGAGGGATCGCTGTGATGTAGCAGACCATCCTTCCCCGGTAATGGCTAGCGCTGAAGTTCCCGTAGACCCCATTTCCCCTCCCGTAGCCTCCGCTCTCTCCCGCAGGCCATTTATATCAATCATTCTAGGACGGGAGGTATGTCTGGGCCCCCTACCACTTCTGCAATAGCACTCAGTGGAGGAGGCACCAGGCTGTACGCCCAGTCCTCTCATACATACACAGCCGCTCACCCACACAGTCCCCACATAAGTCAATTAAAAATACAAAATACAATGGTAATAAATTAATAAAAGTGTGTACAAGCATCAGCAATCACACCATACACACCTCATTCATAAAATTGCGGAGAACTGAGTTTGTGCAATTTAAAGGTGGAAAACAGTGAGGAAAAGGAGGGAGAACTACTCTGCTCCTCTCCCTTCCTATAAGTCCTGAAAAGAATCCCAGAGGCCAAGGCTTTGAAGTCCATGTTGGGTGAGATGGCTGCAGATGGGGGGGGGGGGACATAAGCACCAAATTGAAACAGGTGGTAACTTCGCAGTCTCACCCCCTCCAATTCTCGGTGTGGTCCAGAAAGACAAAACAGGGCCAGGACTGCAAATAGCATAGTGGTCATGGGGGCGAGAGTAAGTAGAATTGGTGGAAGGCAGCAGGGTCGATGGCTCCCCGGGGGCAGCAGGGTTAAATCGCAGCAGCTGGGCAGATGAAATGGTGGTCACAGTGGCCAAGGTAGATGGAAAAGCGACTGGTTCTCTCAAACAACAAGTCCAGTCGTGGTGGTCGAAGCAGATGGGAAAGCGGTAAGGTCGAAGACTCATTCCACCCCAAACAAAAGAACCTGGCCGCAGCTCGACCGTGGCAGTCAGGGCGATAGAATGGCGGGCCCATTGGCTAGAGCGGATGAAATAGCGACAGCATCCACAAGTCCCCTGAAACTCTTCCAAGCTCCCCTCAACAACTGGGTAAGGTAGGATGGTAAACACAGCAATCGGAGCAGGAAGAATGGAGGCAGGGTCGAAGCTCCTCCAAAACAGCAGAGCAGCTGAGGTAGATCGGATTCTCAGAGCAGCTGAGCCACAGGGGCTGGAACAGATGAAACAATCCCACAGCGGCCAAAGCAAACAGACCCGTTCCTCCCCCACAAGAAAAATTCGGCCGCGGCAGCCGAAGCAGTGGGAATAGCAGTGAAAATAACAAGCGCGGCAACCAGAGCCGATAGAGCAGAGGCAGCCAGCAAGCCCCCCCCCCAAGTTCTTCCAAGCTCTTCCAGGGGGGCCGCACTGGCAAAACGGCGGTGCAATGGTAGCGGCAATCAGGGCAGCGGCTGCAGCAGGGTCGAGGCTCCACAGAGCAGCTGGGCCACGGTGTCCTCCGAGCAGCTGGGCCGTGGCGCTCTCCGAACGGTGACGGCATCTTCCGCAAGCGACAGCCTCAGAGAGCGATATCTCTCTCCTTCACTGCCACCAGCGGCTGCCCCAAAGATCACTCCTATCTCACATCTCCCCAACTCAGATTCCGAGCTCGATTTTCCCCTCTTCTCTGGTCGTTCTCTTACACGGGGCCAGAGAGGCGAGCTCGGCAGACATGTTCCTTGTTCCTCGCACATGTGAGAAAGAGATGAGGCCATTTATCTACCAGTATGTAACAGATCTTACTGATCAATAAAGTTATTAATGATGCCACATTGTTCATATTAAGGGAACTTCTGTGAATTATAGCATAACATTTTTTCTACCTCACAAATGTATCTTGCAGGTGATCTACAAGTTAGCTTACAAAAAAATGTTCGCAGTACATTTTTTCCCCTGAAAGATGGTTAAAAAACTAATCTTCCTTTCAAAATTCCTTTTCTTGGCTTTCAGCTTCATTTAAGCAAGCTCACCCACTCCATTCTGAGACACTGTCAGATTTCCTCCTTTTTTTGTTTGAAATGAGTGGGAGAGTGCAATGAGGAGAATTAGACTGCTTGGATGCTGACAACTCTCAGGGCCTTTATGCACAACACCTTTATTTTCATGTTTTCAATTTTTTTATTAGGGTGATGGTGTTTTAAGCATTTACAACTGCTAACTTAGCAAGTGAGAATCTGATGAACATTTAAAGTCTCTGTTACATAGCATTCTGCCGATCTTATCTATTAAAAAGTACTGGAGTATTTTCTCTTGATGATATTTTACATTAAATAGCTATATGTTCTTCTATCTTTATTTCTATGGAACTTGAATCATAAAATGTAGGCATATGCTTTAGGTTAAATACATGACTGCTAGATATCTTTATGGTATTGAACCAAGACAAAACCCGAAAAGATTTCAAATGATATACTATTTGGTCAGATGCCAAGATTCAGCAATAAAGCAAACATTTGACAACCTCTATCTGACAATGTGGGTGGTGATGGTTTTGCCTGACTTGAAGGAAGCAGGGGAATGACTCTATCAATCCATCATGGGACCTGACAATTATAGATATTTTTAAACCACATTTCCAACCTTTTCTTCTTAAGAAAGTAATTGAAAAGGTGAATAGGTGCAATTTTAGAGGAACTTGATAAACCAGATTATCTGAGTTTTTTTCAGTTGAATTTTATTCTGGATCATAGCATCAAGATGTAATTCATCACAATTGTTGATGACTTCTGACAGAACGGGGATGGGGGTAGGGTTATGACTGCCTTGGTTCTGTTCATTTCACAGTGGTGAAACATGGCATTCTTTCAATTTAAGGGACTGAGAGTAAATTACTACAAACTACAACTTCTCCTTTCTCCATGGCCAGTTCAAGATGGTGTTGTCGGGGGATACAGGTCAAGTCCAAAATTTATACTTTAGGGAGTGCCACAAGGATTGTGTAGTGAATAAAGAGGATGCCCATGAGTGACAGTGTTGTCCCAGAATGTTCTGATCCTTTAATCTGGGAGCCTAGCCCAAAGTAATCATTCCACACAGGTGGAAAGGAAAAAGAACTTTTATTTGCAAATAAGAAGCAATATATATATTTGTTATCATAGATTTTCATGGGTGTAGGTATGCTGGTTGTATTTGGGTCTTTTCCCGTGTAAGATTGAGATTGTCTTGGCAATGTTTCAGCAAGGTCTCACTCGCCATCTTCAGGCTGGGTTTATATATATATTTGTTTTCTGAGGTTTTCGCGGGTGTTAATATGTAGGTCTTTGGTTATTCGGGTTTTGTCTCGCGTAAAATTAGAAGTGTCTTGGCGACGTTTCGATGAAGTCTCATTCGTCATCTTCAGGCTTTGTGCTTCCAGGAGCAATGTGAGATCTCGGCTGTTTCTTCCTTTTAACTGCCAGTGGGGGTTTGAGCTGATTGGGTGGGGGTGTGTTCTGATTGGGTGGAGGTGTGTTCTGATTGGTTGGGGGTTTGTTTTTCATGTAAGGAGAGGAGGGGTTTAAAGTGGCTAATAGTGCATTTGAAGTTTGGCTTCTGGTCCTTGGTCGTGCCTCCTCATCAGTGTGGGTCTTTGTCTGCTTTCTTTGTGGATATTTGGTGGTGACATCCTGTGTGGCTCTTGTGAGTGTGGGCCTGGTGTCATTCATCATGTTAGGGACTCGTTTATCAATACCCAATTACCCAATCAGCTCAAACCCCCACTGGCAGTTAAAAGGAAATTAGCTCAAACCCCCACTGGCAGTTAAAAGGAAGAAAC